AATAAGCCCTCTTCTCATTTTCTGGGTTTTGTGCAGCCTCCCCGACGCTTCTTAATCCCCCTATGTGGGTCAGTCCCATCAGAAGGCCATATCAGGATTTACACATATTTTTGAACTCTATTAAGAGGCACCTAAGTACTGCTACTCCCATTCAGAGAAGGGCAAAAAGCAGCAGAAAGAATTTAAAGGCCCACTTTTTCATATAGGTCCGCAGGCTCAGAGACTTAGTGAATGCTTTCAAAAATGTTGCCTCTGGACAGAAAAGAAACCAAATTAACAATTGAGATGAGATACTGGTGGTCACCTGCTGAGATTCTCTGGTCACCATGTGGCCTCCAGCAAGCAAAATCAGTGAACCTATCTGTCCTATGTTGGGGAGTAACACAGCAAGAGGAAGGCAAAGAATATCATACAAACATAAGAATGGCCATACTGAGTCAGACCAAAGGTCCATCTAGCCCAGTAGCTTATCTGTCGACAGTGGCCAGCACCAGGTGCCCCAGAGGGGGTGGACCGAAGACAATGATCAAGCGATTTGTCTCCTGCCATCCTTCTCCAGCCTCTAACAAACAGAAGCCAGGGACACCATTTCTATCCCCTGGCTAATAGCCTTTTATGGACCTAACCTCCATGAATATCACTGTCTGTGACAGATAGATAGATAGATAGATAGATAGATAGATAGATAGATAGATAGATAGATAGATAGATAATTTCAGAAAAAATCCCAAAAATCTATCTTTCCCCTTTTCATCTTTCCATCAAAATATCAAACTTCCCCACCCCTATTTGAAACTGTGGCTGTGGGACTCTGGTGATGTTCCAGGGCAGCTCATCCAGAGGAGATACCATCATGCATCATGGGGGTGGAGTCCAGCCAGGGAGCCTGGCCCATGGCAGACAAAATTGGGTGGTGGTATCTGAGGCACCTGGGTCGTATTTCTGAGGGGATCTATTGTGTTTTCAGCCATAAGCTTTCAGTGTCCACAAACAAAGCCTTTGCCGCTCAGATCGACACTGTCCCAGGCTTAAACTTTGAAAACAGAAGGTGAAATACATACCCTGTTATACTGTATACTGCTGATAGAAATTGCATCATTTAGTAACGCAGGCAGATTCAGCCCCAGGGAATAAGCTACACCCAGGGTGACTGCTTCACTCAGCTCATTAGTTATGTGTTGTGCCTTTCTGGACTCAGTTATTCCCAGGACTACAGGGACCATGTCCCATGGATCACAGTTGTGGGTATAAAACTTCCTGAACACTCTAAATCAGCACTTTCTGACAACAGAGAAACACCACATCTCTCTTCTCTCGGCAGGTATGTGCTATTGTCTCACATCACAGTTACACAACTTTACAGACTCCAGGGCCCTCCACGGATATAGAATTCATGACCTAAAAGACTAAAAGTCTCAGCCTATTTTCAATTATAGAAACAAACCACATGATTAGAAAAAAATAGGCAATTACATAGTGCCTGAAGCTTCCACTATTTCTCAGGATTTTCTTACAGAACAGTATAAATACCATTTCCGATGCAAAGAAGCTTACTTAGCTCAGCTTTACCACAAACAGACATGCCGAGTCAAAGACCTTCCCTTTCCCAAAGAGCTTAGAAAGATAAAAACTCATTTACTTTCACAACTCCTTGAGCTAAGCAATAATCTCATCATACTAAGATGATTTTCACCACGATTCTCTTACAGCAGTTACCTGAGGTACTGGTTGATACTCGGATTAGTGATCGGGAGTGTTCATGTGTAGGACATGATTAACCTGAGTGTTCTTCTATTTGTATAGTGTGTGAATTATATGGAACACCTGGGATTCACTCACTGTGAACCTCTGCCTCTGTGGACTAAGTCCTTCACTGAGCTGGTACCAGTGCCTATTAAGTATCAGAGGGGTAGCTGTGTTAGTCTGAATCTGGAAAAGCGGCGAGGAGTCCTGTGGCACCTTATAGACTAAACAAAGTGTTGGAGCATAAGCTTTCGTGGGCAAAGACCCACTTCGTCAGATGCATGTACAACACTTCGGTTAGTCTACAAGGTGCCACAGGACTTCTCGCCGCTAGTGCCTATTAAAAAACTGATCTTCATTTTTTTCACTTAATTTGTTACAGAGAATGGGTAAGTTGCCTGCGCCATCCACTGGCCCACATCCCATAGATGCCTGATGGAAGGAGATGGAAGAGGGAAATCACTCCGTGGTGACTGAGTTCATTCTCTCAGGATTGACAGATCACCCAGAGCTGCAGGTCCCTCTGTTTGTGTTGTTCCTATTGATTTATGTTACCACCCAGGTCTGTAATGGGGGGATGGTCTTGTTAATCATGACTGACCCACAACTCCATTCCCCCATGTACTTTTTCCTCAGGAGTTTGTCTTTTTGTGATCTTTGCAGTTCCACAGTAATCGCCCCTAAGTTGCTTCAGATTTTCTTAGCTGAGAGGAAAAGCATTTCTCACACTGCCTGCGCTGTGCAAATGTATTTCTTCCTTGTTTGCGTAGATATTGAGTGTCTCTTGCTGGCTGTGATGGCCTATGACCGTTATGTGGCCATCTGTAACCCTCTGCTCTATACGGTCACCATGTCCAGGCAGCGTTGTGGCCAGCTGGTGGCTGGGGTATGCGCTGTAGGGTTGGTGGATGCAATGATACTCACATGTTCTACATTTCAGCTGTCATTCTGTCACTCAAATATCAGCAATTTCTGCTGTGACGTACCCCCCTTGCTGGCGCTCTCCTGCTCTGATACCCACATCAATGAGATTTTGTTGTTTGCATCCATGTGCTACACTGTAATGATCAGCGTGGTGACCATCCTCCTCTCCTATGTCTGTATCTTCTCCACCATCCTGCGGATCCGCTCTGCCGAGGGCCGGCACAAAGCCTTCTCCACCTGCGCTTGTCATTTGACTGCAGTGGGCATGTTTCATGGCTCTCTCATTTTTATGACTTTCCAACCGAGCTCCAGCTATTCCACGGGCACAGACAAAATAGCCTCAGTGTTCTACACACTGGTGAGCCCCATGCTGAACCCCCTCATCTACAGCCTGAGGAACAGGGAGGTGAAGGACGCCGTGAGGAAAGCCAGGAACAAACTTCTAACCAATTCCTGAACCTGTTCATCCCAGTGCTGGTTGAGTGATGGCAAGTGGAAACATTGGAATTCAATTCCCAGCTCATTGTGATGTCATCTCATAGAACTCAGAGTAGGATTGTTCATTATTCCATTGATATTATTATTTGTTTGGTTGTATTCCAACAAAGCTTGCTTGCCCCCACTGAGATCAGAGGGGTTTTTTTTATGCTATTATTCCAGCCAAAATAAAGGAAACACCTGTTTCACATGTGTGAGTATGTAAATATACATAATTTGCTTTGAATGAATGGATCTGTTTGTATTTGAAATGAAGGGGGAAAGACAAATGTCTCTGCTTTGTAGCTGGGTTGGATTCTTTGTAACCGGTTTGGCTTCATTAACACATCTGTGATTTCTATGGCTGCAGCAATGATAGTTTTTGCAAAGATTGTCACCTGCTTTCTGTCTATGAACCATGAGGAAAAACATAATTTTCCTCACAACATTCATAGTTCCTTATATGGGGCTCATTGATGTATACCTCTGAGCACCTCAACATTCTTATCGTTTTGATTGTCATAACTTCCATGTTAGGTAGCACAATATTATCTCCATTTCACAAATGATGAGCTGACACAGACAGAAAAAATTAATGTCCTGCTTCAAGGTCATACAGGAGGTCTGCCGTAAAGCCAGAAAATAAGCCCCAAATTACAAAGTTCTTAGATAATGCTCTACCTACAACTAGATGCTCTCTCCTTCTCCTAATAATAAAGGAAGAGATCTGTAAAGTAGTTGTGTAAAAGGGTAGTAAAACAGCTCCTCTTTCTCTACATCAAGCTCATAATATGCTGATCATCATTGTATTGATCAAATGTTTGTGGCAACATTATTTGGACAATTAGAAGATTTTACTGTAAAATGTATTGAGCAGTTAAAAGCTCAGAAAAGCACAAACAAAGCATTCACTTAGAAGCAAAAGGAAATTAGGTGCCTCAGTGAGGTGTCAACCAAGTCATATGATATCTCACCTGGTGAAGAGGTCACTTTTGTGCAGGAAGACGGGCCTGAGTGCGAAATCTACATGTTGAAAAACAAACAGCTGGGATTTTCTCTCCCTTCAGAGTTTGTCTCCAGGACTTCAGGCTGGAGATGATTCTTGCAATAAAGAAAAAAAGAAGCAAAGACAAATACCTGAAAGGTACAATCCCTCCCTTTCTCTCTGCTGACAACATAAAAAAAGTCTGGAGTAAGGGGAAAGAAGCACTGGACTGGTAGGTTCTGGCTGAAAGGCATTCCGCTGGTAACACTGCAGCAGTGGATGGTGAGGGAAAACTTTCCTTTTAATTTGTTTAGCTTGCTAAGATAGGTGTTAGTGAGCCTGGCCCTTTCTCTCCTGGCACTGGAGGTGGCGCTGGGGGAGGCACTCAGGACCTGCTGCCCTCAGGCTGGTCTGGAACCTTTGGGGACGGGCGCTGGGGAGCCCCGAAGTTTCCTGTCCCAGACTGTTGGGTTCAGAGGAGTCGCGGGCTGTGGGTGTTACAGGCAGTTTGTGTGTGTGTCAGGATGGTAAAATCCCTTTCTTCCCCCTCGGCAGGTGCAGCTTAACTAACCCTCACTGGCCGTGGGTAGAGGAAAAAACTGTAGGTAAGAGAGTGGCAACCAAGTCCCTCATTCTGCACTGTATTGCAGTCTCCCACCTAAATATCTGGGCTCCGACTCTGGCAGCTTTCCGACTGTCAACACAGAGCACTAATCTCTAGGTCACAAGGCTTAGTGATGCTGAATGGGATGTGTGTCTGGTACTGTCCAGCACCCTCCTGGACAACATCGCTTCATTCAAAGTCGTCCTTTTATTAACAGAAAAGTGGCTTGTGCAAACCTTCTTCTCAAGTAGAGGTTACAAATAGGTGAATTTCATGTTTTATTTCTTTGTAACCAATTCTCTGCCTCACTATTTGTAACCTCTACTTGAGAAGAAGGTTTGCACAAGCCACTTTTCTGTTAATAAAAGGACGACTTTGAATGAAGCGATGTTGTCCAGGAGGGTGCTGGACAGTACCAGACACACATCCCATTCAGCATCACTAAGCCTTGTGACCTAGAGATTAGTGCTCTGTGTTGACAGTCGGAAAGCTGCCAGAGTCGGAGCCCAGATATTTAGGTGGGAGACTGCAATACAGTGCAGAATGAGGGACTTGGTTGCCACTCTCTTACCTACAGTTTTTTCCTCTACCCACGGCCAGTGAGGGTTAGTTAAGCTGCACCTGCCGAGGGGGAAGAAAGGGATTTTACCATCCTGACACACACACAAACTGCCTGTAACACCCACAGCCCGCGACTCCTCTGAACCCAACAGTCTGGGACAGGAAACTTCGGGGCTCCCCAGCGCCCGTCCCCAAAGGTTCCAGACCAGCCTGAGGGCAGCAGGTCCTGAGTGCCTCCCCCAGCGCCACCTCCAGTGCCAGGAGAGAAAGGGCCAGGAATGCAGGGGTTTTCCTGCCATTTTAAACCACGGCCCAGAGGGGTTTTGATTTAGTGGGTCTGGACAAAGCCCCTGTGTGTTGCTGTCACTGTCTCCGGTTTGGTTCTATGTTTGTCAGAGCTGGGTCAGGTTCTGTCCCCTGTTTGTCCCCCTTTGTAACCAGTCCCCGAGCAACCCCCTGCTCTGTTAGCATCTGGACATCCCCTCCTCTCTCTGTAATGCACCCACCAATATTGGGGAGCCCATGCTGGTGCTCAAGCCCCTCTGCCAGCCCATGACAGGGCATGAGCACTAAAATTTGCTAGCCTGCACTCCACTAGGTTCTGGTGTGTGAGGAGAATGTGTGTATGGGGGGGTCTTTCCCCTTCTCGGTCAGGGGTCACATCGGGGGATTTCCAGAAAGCCTTTGTCAAGGTCACTCAACGAGGGTTAAGTAAAGTCACTTATCATGGGATAAAAGAGATGGTCCTATCATGGATCGAGAACTGGTTCAAAGATAGGGAACAAAAGTCTGAAATAAATGGTAAGTTTTTGAAATGGAGAGAGGTAGCTAGTGGGGTCCCCCAAGAGTCAGTCCTAGGACCAATCCTATTCCATTTTGTTGTAACTAATCTGGAAAAAGAAGTAAACAGTGAGTAGCAAAATTTGCAGATGATACTAAACTGCTCAAGGTACTTAGGACCAAAGCAGACCATGAAGAACTTCAAAAAGATCTCACCAACCTCAGTGACTGGGCAACAAAATGGCAAATGAAATTGAATGTTGATAAATGTAAAGTAATGCATGTTGGAAAAAATAACCCCAGCTCTGCATCCAATTTTATGCGGATTGATTTAGCTACAGCTACTCAAGAGAGAGATCTGGGAGCTACTGTGGATGGTTCTCTGAAAACATCCAGTCAATGGGCAGTGGTAGTCAAAAAGCAAAGAGAATGTTAGGAATCATTAGAAAGGGGATAGAGAATAAGACAGAGAATATCTTCTTGCCCTTATATAAATCCATAGTACGGTCACATCTTGAATGCTGCTGTGACAGGCTATGGCTACGCTGCCATTTTTTTCCCAGGAGAAGATATGCAAATCACGCTCATATTTGCATATCCTCTTCTGATTCTTTTTGAGGAAGAGGTTTTTCCAATATTTGGCCCCATGTAGATGAGGCCAACTGTCGGGAAAAAAACCCCTCTATAGAAAGACCCTGTAAACCTCAATTTTGGGAAGGGAAAGAATCCCTACAAGGAGGGATGCCTGGCGGAAGTGGACTCTGAAGAAGGTTACTGCATTATGGGAGTAGTATACCACGTGTAAAGAAAGCAGAGAGGCAAAGGCTACGTCTAGACTACAAGCCTCTTTTGAAAGAGAGTGTCTAGACTACAAGCAGATTTTTCAAAAAAGCCAGCTGCTTTTTCAAAAGAGAGTCTATATGCTCTCTTTCGAAAAAGCACAGTTTGCATTTAATACGAAAGAGTACTTTTGAAAAAAAGGTGTTATTCCTTGTAAAATTAGGTTTGCCGTGATCGAAAAAACTGCTGCTTCCTTTTGATTTACTTTCAAAGGGATGCAGCTGTAGTCTAGACACACCCAAAGTGTCCTCCTGTACGGGTGGGCCATTGTAAGCCGGGAACTAGATCAGCAGGTGGCCCTGCTGCAAGAATAGGTGGCTTTTCTGAGTCTGAAAAACAAAGGGATCAGTTAGTTCAGCCGCAAGCTGCTGAGCTGATGGCTGAAAAAGGCCAAAGTGACATTGTTGAGCTTGCAGGTCTCCCAATTGGAGGCTCAGTTGAAAGAGTTGATACAGCAAGTGGCCACGGCAGAACAAGCTGCTGAGATAAGCTCCCTCCCCCAACACAGACAAATTCTAACTGGGAGCAAAATCTACGGTGTAGAGATGCAGGGGATGAGTGAAAAGTCAAGAAAATGTTGCCACTAAGGAGATTAACCAAATATGTGTCGTGGGAGCAGCTATCAGAACAGAATCGAATGGCTGAGGATGTGTTTAGGAAACTGGCTGCATACAAAAGTGGCAACAACAGTAGCTCAGTGGAAATAGCAGCATCTATTAGCCCTGATGTTGTCTTTGTGGGAAATAGACTTTGAAGGAGCCAAGGTTCCCAAGACATCCAAGTGGTGGCACCCATTGCAAACGATGACTGGAGTCACCCTACCATGAATCTACCTGTAGAGGGGAACTACAGCACTATGAAGCAAAAAGCTTTGGTGGATGAAGGGGCCTCCAGCAGCTTGTTATGCACCAGAGATAATGATCTGATTTCCTTAATGGGAATGTCCCTTAATATGAAATTAACATCACACAATGGGAAACAGAGCTTAACACCATTTACCCAAGAACTCACAGGAGTCTTGGGCCCTTTGTACAGCCGAGGATCCATGGGATTCCAGGGTCTTGATGGAGGTGGGATTTTGGGTATGGACCTCCTATCAACATGTAATGTTCTAAAAGACCTGCCAAATAGGATAATAAGCAGTGCTGAAAATGGAGAAGCAGGGAGATCCCAGTAGCCCACTAACTCGCAACCATAATGGCAGACTCTA